AAGTCACAGGGCTGGCCCCTGGAGTCCCTACCAGGGGGACTGTGAAGGCCACAGACCCCACCCCACCATGGGGCCCAGCCTCAGTGACCTGACTGTGAAGTGGGTGCTGAGCACCCTAAGGACGTGGATGAGGCTGAGAGGCAGGGGAACTGGGCTTGGGTGTGATTGTTGGAGGCCAGGTGGGGGCTGGGTGCAAGAAAGCTGCCCACTCAGTCACTTGGTCACTCACTCACTCACTTGGTCATTCATTTACTCACTCACTCAGTCGTTCACTCACTCATGCACTTGGTCATTCATTCATTCACTCACTCACCACTTGGTCATTCATTCATTCACTCGGTCACTCACTTGATCATTCACTCACCCACTTGGTTAGTCAGTCATTCACTCATTCATTCATCTGCTCACTCAGACATTCACTTATTCACTCACACACTCACTCATTCATTCACACACTCAGTTATTCACTCATTCACCTGGTCATTCACTCACTCACTCACTTGTTCAGCTAAGGATTTCAGGGCAGTGTGGGCCTCCTCCAAGAAGCTCACTGCCACGGTTGTGGGAGGCTATGTTCTCCTGGCAGAGGGGACCGGAAAAACATCTCTGTTCCCGGCCCCCACGCCCCCGCCTTCAGTTGCCCCTCCCCGCCCCAGCCTTGCCCCGATATTGTTTCCACCCAGAACTCCCCATCAGCAAGAACGCTCTAGGGGGAGGTGCTCACCGAGCCCCCACCCCGTCCCAACCTCCCTGCCCCGCTTCTGCACACGGCTGTTCACAGATGGCTGTTTGTCTGGGTTCTGCTTTTATCATCACATAAAACTTGGTGTCGGGTGTTGTGACATCTGGAAATCCTGAGTATGGACTGCAACCTCCCCCAGCACCAGACAGCCAAGGACGGGGAGGGGGTGGTGGTGGTGGGGCGCTGCTCCTCCTGGCCAAGCCCCACAAACCCACTGCCCCGGCCCATCCCTGCTCACAGCGACCCCACCCCGTGGTTCCTAGGCTGCCCTGGGGACCCCTCCCCCACCTCTCCCACAGAGAAGCTTTAACAGCTATGCCACCAGGCAGCCCCTATGCTGAGGAAGAAGGCCAGGGCTTGAGGCCGCCTGGCCCCTGGTCTCCCTGGGGAAGCACTTGTCACGGCAGAGCTGCAGTTGCCCCCCGCTGGAACTGGGGGTAGCAGACACACCTGGGCTCAGACCCTCCCTCTGGGGATGCTACCCTGGGGGTGAGGGGGTGCTGGGTTCCCCCAGCCTCAGGCTCTGACCCCGAGCACCTTGATGTGCTGGTGGTCAGTCCTGCATACCTTGTGGCTGGGTGGGGGTTCATTTGGCCGCCCCCATACCCTCGGCTGGCCAGAGGCCCAGTGCTGGCCAGTGCACATGGTGGTCTTTTCCCTGGGGTCCCAGTTCAGACTCGATGGACAGGCAGGGCTGGGGGCTAAGTTGGGGCCAGGGACTCCTCTGGAGAGGAGCCCAACAACCTTTGTGCAACCCTGGTGTTTTTCCTGACACAGCGGCTGCAACGGGGAAAGAAACACAGACAGTGGGGACGGGGGAGGGGGAAGGGGGGGGACTGGGCAGTGTTCCAGCAGTCAGTATGTGCCAAAACCTACTCTAGGGCACTGGAGCACTGGACACACTCACCGGGCAGGGGCATCTCCTCACTGAGCCTCCGTCCCACACCTGTAGAACAGAACCCCCTCCCCGCCTGCCGTGGGTCATACAGCCCCCTGATAGGCTGGTGCAGAATCAGTCTCTCCGTAGCAGCAGGCGAGTGCTTTAACCACTGCGCCTTCAGCACGCCTTCCTTCCAATGGAGACGCTGGCCTGAAGGACTCGGTGGGCTAGTTAATAACAGCGTGTCCGTCTGGGTCGGTTCACTGTAACCAATGGGAAGATACATTGTAACTAATGGGAGCCACTGTTAATAGCAGGGGGAAGCCGCAGGGGACGGGGTGTACCCAACCCCCAGTGGTTTGGGCATAATTTTCTAGAAACCCACCAGGACCAAGTGCCCTCCAGTGACCCCTGCTCATGGCACCCCCTCGTGTGGCTGCGCTCCTTAGGACTCCAGTGGCTGATTTTTTTTCTTCAGCGATGGCCAGACTTTTCTTCTTGGGCACCTCTGGGTGGACTGACACCCTTTTGTGAGCCGCTGAGCCATCTAAACAGCCAAGGTTCCCCCCCTGACCTTGTCTTCTCTACAGGGTAGAAGGGACGTCCTGAGACACGGCCCGACAGCCGTGGGACAAAGATGTTGGAAGCACATCATCCTTCATCCCTCACAGGGATTGTCAGGAGAACCCCTCATCAGGGGGGCAGGGTGCCCACTGGGCAGGGAGTGTCACCGTCTACAAATCACCTGTAAGCCCAGTTCCCACGGGCCCATGTCCCGGACACGGGGTGAAGGCTCAGAGGGGGTGAGCGGGGTGCTGCAGCCACCCAGGCAGTGGTGCAGGGGCTCAGGCGAGCTGGCCCGTGGACTCCTGGTCCTCTCCCAAGCCACTCCAGGCGGGGCGGCCCTGATAGCGTCAGCCAGCAGGGCCTCGGGGGTGGGGGGGACTTGGCACATGCCAGAGCCGCTCGGGGGTGATGGGGAGGGCCCCTCGCCACTCCCAGGATCTGGGCCTGCGGAGCTGGCAGCCCTACTGCTGACCGAGCAGAAACCTGAGCCGAGAGAGAGAGAGAGAGAGAGAGAGAGAGAGAGAGAGAGAGAGAGAGAGAGAGTTTGTTCCAGGGACGAGCCTCTTGCGGGACAGCCAAGGCAGCCAGATGGGGGCCCCAGGGCCCCGGCAGGCATGCCACAGCCGGCTGCAGGGCCTGTGCTGATTGTGGCCAGGCAGCGGGACAGCCAGGGCAGAGGTGGGTCTGGCTGAATAGGCAGAAAAGGGCTGGCCCTCCTGCTACAAACTACGGTCTGACTCCTGGTGAGCCCGCACACAGCGGACCCCGGTGTCGCCTGGCCCTGTGCGTCTTTGTGAGCAATGACCCCCAGGAGCGCTGTGGTGGCCCCGTGGGTGCTGAGGGGGCTCCCGGGGCTCGGCTCCTGCCACACCGGGCTGTGTCCCATGGTCTGTCCAATTGGTTGCCAGGCCTTTCTTCTTAGTCAGCCCGAGCCTGGCAGCTCTGCCGAGGCCTCTCCACCAGGGCTGGCCTTGCTGGCACTTGGCCTCTGCGTCCAGCCACACGGGAGCCACCATGGTGCCACCCACGGACAGATGGGGGCAGGGGGCCCATTCCTGGGTGACCAAGCCCATGCCCGCCCTGGGTGTGGCCCCAGGCAGGGGCTCTGGTTCCTCTGGGCCTCCAGGCCAGCCTGGTAGCAGTTTGCTCCGTGCAGGCTGGGCACCTGGGGGCACCTCCCCCACCTGTAGCCAGGCAGGACTCTGGGGCCCGGTGGAGCCCGCCCCGGTGGACACGTCTGGTCCTCCCAGCCAGCACAGGTCTCCACCCGCTGAGCAGCCCGAGATACAAGTTCAACTTCATCGCCGACGTGGTGGAGAAGATTGCACCGGCCGTGGTCCACATCGAGCTGTTTCTGAGGTGCGTGGGGCCTCCGGCCGAGTGGCACGTCCCCCTCCCTGCCTCCACGGGCAGCTCTTCTTCCACTGGCCACCCAGTACCCGGCCCTTGGGCTGCAGCCCCACGGCCACCATGACCCTGAGACACCGAGGTGCCCCTCCCCACCCAGCTCCTTCTGTGACTCCTGCCACCCCACCCCCCAGCCGGCTTGGTGACCTGGTTTCTAGGTGGGGAGGGGAAGTCCTAGGAAGCTGGCTGAGGGCCACAGCTGGGAGGAGCCCAGTGGGGCAGGAGACCAGGCCAACCGCCTCTCCTCACACACTGACCCCTTGGCCCTCTCCTGGGGCCCAGGCGTGTCATGGAGGAGATGATGGTCAGGCTCAGGGTGACACATCAGGGCCTCTGGTGGCCTGTGTCCTGGGCAGTCAGTGGTCCTTTGTGGAGACCCAGCCCGGAGCCGGCTAATGACTGCCCTGTGCCCCAGTGCTGGCCCTCATCAGCCCCGGGGCAGTCAGGCCCAGATAGACACGATGCCATCAGGCCTGAGGCTCCCTGCAGTGATCCTGCCCAGGGGTGGGGAGGAGGAGGCCACCGGCTGCCTCAGCCCTGCCTGCTGTGAGGCCTTCCTGCAGACACAGCACGGCAGGAGGCATCTGGGCACAGGGAGCTGGGAGGGGACACGGGGGACCCAGTGTGCAGGGTGACTTGGGGGCCCACACCCAGATGGCCTGGGCCTCCCTGCTCTGCCCAGGCCAGAGTCTCTGGGTCTCAGTCTCCCCATGTCACTGGGGACCAAGTAAGGTGGCTCTGTCAGAGTGTGTGGTGGCCCGAGGGTACCACTGTCACAGATCCTGCTCCCAGGCCACCCGGTGACCGTGGGGCTGTCCAGCCCACACACATGTCTGTGTTGAGCAGCTCCAGTGACAGCCCCACCCTGTCAAGCCTGTGCCTGGCCCCAGGGGGCCTCTGGAGCCATCCTGTGTCCAGAGCACGGCCCTCCCGCCCTCCCTCGGGGCCTGCAGGGGGGTTGTTGGTCTCAGCTCAGGGCTGGGTGGGCACTGTCACCAGGTGCCCACCCTCCTGGGGGAAGCCTGGGGAGGCAGTGTGTGGGGTCCCCTTCCCAGCAGGGGCAGGGAGGCCCAGGGAACGTCAGCAGTGCCCAGGGCTGGGAAGCATGCAGCAGCCCGGGGCCTGCGAGAGCACTCCGTTACTGTGGGGAGCCATCACTGCAGGCCAGAAGGTCCCTTTCTGGGGGCCCTGGCCAAGGTCACAGCTGCTCAGGGTGGAGCAGGGACTCACAGTGCCCTGTCCTGCCCATAGACACCCCCTGTTCAGCCGCAACGTGCCACTGTCCAGTGGCTCGGGCTTCATCGTGTCCGAGTCCGGCCTGATCGTGACCAATGCGCACGTGGTAACCAGCTCTAACGCCGTGTCCGGCCGGCAGCAGCTGAAGGTGCAGCTCCTGGACGGAGACAGCCAAGAGGCGGCCATCAAGGACATTGACAGGAAGTCGGACATTGCCACCATCAAGATTCAGCCCAAGGTGAGCGGGCACTGCCCACACAGCTGGAAGCCCAGGCCGGGACGGGGACAGGCCTGTGTGCTGGGTTCCCCCCGGCCCCGCCCACCCCAGGTCTGGAGATGACCCCACCCACCTCGGGTCACTTAAAACAAGAAGCTCCCCACTCCCCTTGAGCCTCAGTGTGCCTGCCCTCTGGTACACCGTGGGCGTTCCTGGGCAGACCACCGTCTCTAGTGGGGCTGACACCTGCCAGGACCTCCCCTGGGCCCCTCTGTCCCGAGATCCCCGTCCGTCCATGGCTCCTCTGCACCCCCACCCCGCCAGCCCACGTCACAGGTTGTGCCCCCTCCCCCGGGGATGGCCACAGGGGCCAGGGTCCCAGCTGCTGGAGGCCCTGCCCCTACCGCGCCTCGTCCTCACTCTCCAGAGGCAGCTGCCTGTCTTGCTGCTGGGCAACTCAGCTGACCTGAGGCCCGGCGAGTTCGTGGTGGCCATAGGCAGTCCCTTCGCGCTGCAGAACACGGTCACCACCGGCATCATCAGCTCAGCCCAGCGGGAGGGCAAGGAGCTCGGCCTGCACAACTCGGACATGGATTACATCCAGACCGACGCCATCATCAATGTGGGTCCCCGCCCACGCCCGGGCCTGGTCCATGTCCCCTCCCTGCACCCAGACCCTGTCCACTATCCCACCCCTGACCCCTTTCCTACCCCCAGATCCTTCACTCTGTCCTGTCCCTTGTCCCCTGTCCCCTCTCCCCTGTCCTTTGTCCTGCTCCATCCCCTGAGCTGTTCCCCTGCCCCTGGTCCTGCCCCTGTCCCCTCTCTCCTATCCTCTCATCTTGCACTCGATGCTGCACCCTGCCCTCATTCCCCTGGTCCTTGTCCCTGTCCCTGGTCCCTGGATGCCGGACCCTTCCCTCTGTCCCCGTCCTCTGCCCCTGCACCGTATCCCCGAGGCCTGTCGATCTATCCTGGCCATCCTGCTTGGTAACCACCCTGCTGGCAAGTCCATTCGCACTCTGAGCAGCCTGTGGGGTGGACTTAGACCTGCTCCATCCCAAGCAGGCCACCCTCTGCCTTGATGCCCAGCTGCTGGAAGCTCTGGGTTGTGAAGAGGCTCCACAGTGGATGTCTCGCAGCGGCAGGGCGAGGGTCCCACCAGCACCCTCCCAGAGGGCCATCCAGCCTCCAAGTTGGAGCCCCCAGTGCAGAGGGCCCTGGGCCACGCCTAACCCGATGGTCCTCCAGGCTGTCCAGCCTTGGCTTGCCTGTCTGTGCAGTGGGGCTGTAAGGGGCAGCTGGTCCTGAACAGAGTCCCTGCAGAGGGCAGGCAGGAATGCCCCAAGGAGCCAGGGAGGGTCAGTCCTGGAGCCCACCCTTGGGTCACTGCCCCCCTGGGGTGGGGAAAGGGACCCCGTGCTAGAGTGAGGGTCCTGAGGCCGGGCTCAGATCTGGTTTCTCACAAAACGCTTTTCCTGCCACCGAGCAGCCGCGCCTGGGTCACCCAGGAGAGGGGCGATGGCGTCCTGATGGTGCCACTGAGCAAAGGGTCTGGCCAGCATCATACTGATGGTCATGCTGGTGATAGTGGGTGGATGGGTGGGTGGGTGCTGGGCAGGGAGGGAGTAGATAGTGGATAGATGGATGGATGGATGGATGGATGGATGGATGGATGGATGGATGATTGGCAGGGATGGAGTAGATAGTGGATAGATGGATGGATGGATGGATAGATGGATGATTGGGTGGATGGATGGATAGATGAGTGAGTAGATGGATGGATGGATGGATGGATGGATGGGTGGGTGAGTGGGTGGATGATGGGCAGGGGAGTGGATGGATGGATGGATGAGTGGGTGGATGGATGGATGAGTGGGTGGATGGATAGGTGAGTGGGTGGATGGATGGGTGAGTGGATGGCCGGATGGGTGAGTGGATGGGTGGATGATGGGCAGGGGAATAGATAGTGGATAGATGGATGATGAGTAGGTGGATGGATGGATGGATGGATGGATGGATGGATGGATGGATATATAATAGATGTGCAGAGAATGTGCATGACTGAAGGATGACTGGGTGGGTCTGTGGATGAGAGGTAGATGAGCGGATGGACACTAGTGGCTGAGTGGACAGATGTGGGTCTGGGTGGGAGATATGATGGGTGGTAATAGGTCCCGGAGGTGGGTGGACGTGCATGGTGGGTGGACAGACATGGGTCTGGGTGGGAAATAAGAGGGGTGGTAATAGGTCCAGGAGGTGGGTGGGTATGCATGGTGGGTGGGCAGATGTAGGAGGACGGCATTTAGATGACCGTCCTCTGGAACCTGTCTGGTTCTCATTTGCAGACAAGCTTCCTGGGGGTCTTGGTGACCTCAGAGAGGGTGTAGGTCTTTATTTTCAGGTGGGGTTTGGGCTGGTAGTGACTTGTACATAGCAGGTCACCCATGAAGCTGAGAGCCACCGGTCCCCAGTTGCACAGCAAGCACTTGGTGGCCTGTGGGGACAGCTGAGAGGCTGAGCCTGGAGGGGAGAGAAGGCTCAGCCAAGGGGCCAGCAAAGCTGCAGCCCTGACCAGTCGACTTTCACCCAGGGATGGGCAGGAGGGCTCCAGGGTGGGTGGAGAAGGGTGTAAGGCCCCTGGGGTCTGATGCCTGGCCCCTTGGGGAGCCACTGAAGAGATGGCAGGATGGGGCAGCAGGCACAGCCCCCCAAAGTTCCACTGAACAGAGGGGACCAAGCTCTGGCCCCAGTGCCACCTCTCTCTACCATGAACCCCAGCCCCGTCCACATCTGTGGGCCTGGCCCTCAAATAGAACCAGGGAGGGCCCTTCAGGAGGGACAGGGCCTGGCCCGGGAGGACCATTGTCACTGGTCACCCAGCTTGTTCCCAGGCCTCTGCTGAGCCCATCCTGAGATGCAGCTAATGTGTGTTTCCCTTGCAGTACGGGAACTCCGGGGGGCCGCTGGTGAACCTGGTAAGTGCCCACCCTGCAGGGACTCCTGCCTTCTGGGGATTCTGCTCACAGAAGGGGCCATGGGGCGTTTAGGATTCAGTGGCAGAGGAGGAATGCGGGGCCCTGAACGCACATGCCCGAGGAGGGAGGGGGAGGGTGGACCTGGAGGTGAGGGGGAGGCTCCAGCTCCAGGGGGCTGCCTAGAGGAGGGGCATTTAAGAAGGGAGAAAGGTTGAGGGAGGAGGCATATGGAGATGAAGAAGCCCAGTGGGGGGGAGGGGGGGATCACACTCAGGCCTGAGGGAGGGATGTCTAGAGGGAGGGACAGAGGCCAGGAGGGGCTGTGGCCCCGGGATGGCTTTGCCCATGCATCCAGGGTGAGGGCCAGGAGTGGCAGAGGGGGGAGGGCGGCCACCACGGCTGGTCCATCAGCAGGGTGAATAGCACAGAGCCCCAGGAGACACCGTCTGCAGCCCTGCACCGTCCACCCCTGCCAGCCAGCCCCTCCCTCTGCCTCCCTCTCCCTCTTCCAGGACCAGGCCGGGGCAGGGGGGCAGAGGGTGTTCAGACCCAAAGCCCATCCCACTGGGGCTTAAATAAGCTGGCCTCCCCATCCAGGGCAGAGATCTGTCCTCCAAGGCTGGACAGCTCCTGGTTCTTGTGAGAAGAAGCCCATGTGGCCCTCTCTGGAGGGGTGGTGGCTGCAGGGGGTGCTGCCCCAGTGACAAGCACCCAGCGACTGTCCTAGGGTCTGGGTTTTGGGGGCCAGGTGGCAGGAAGTGGGGGCCGTGGGCACCTGAGGTGGCCCTGAAGTCTTCTCGGGGGATATTGAGGGGCAGTGACATGCCCAGCTCCCCGAGTGACCGCCACTCGCCCCCCTGCCCAGGACGGCGAGGTCATCGGCATCAACACGCTCAAGGTGGCAGCCGGCATCTCCTTCGCCATCCCCTCGGACCGCATCTCGCGCTTCCTCTCCCAGGTCCAGGACAGGCAGGGGCCCAGCAAAGGTACCGCCCTCGCCGGGGCCGGGGCCGTGTGGGTGGGGGGACAGCTTGGGGCTCGCCCCTGTGACCTCCCTGCAGGGGCTGGGTGGGTGCAGTGGCCTGTAGCTCACCCCTATGACCTGGCGACCCAGGCTGGGGCAGGGAGCAGAGCTGTGACCCCAACTGGGACCTGGTCACTGCAGTGGCTCCAGATGACCCACTGACCATCCTTAGGTGCTGTGTGAACTCCCTCCCTCCTGGACTGGGCCCCTCTGCCTGCCGAAGCCCCAAGACCCCAGGACCACCTACCCTCAGCCCCTCCTGGGGTCTCCCTGCCTGCCCCGCCCTGCCCAGCCATGGCCTCACGCACCCTCCAGACCTGGTCCTCAGCTCGGCCTCCTGCGCATGTGGCACCGTCAGCTGCTCGGACGCCTTGCTTTTTGTCTGGGTGGCCCCTCAGTTGTCAGCGCCGTGCTTCTTTCCTGCCTCCATGTGTCCATCCATCCATCGTTTACTATGCATCCTGCCTCCCTCCTTCCATCACGTATCAATCATCCACCCATTTATTATTTATACATCATCCCTGTCCATTGATCATCCACCCACCCATAGCTTCACCCATCTGCCTACTCACCCAAATCTCCACTCAGCCGTGGTTTATTTATTTATTTATCATCCATCCGTCTATCCATCCATGTATCCATCTGCCTGTCCATCTGTCCATCCGTCTGTCCATCTGCCTGTCATCTGTCCATCCTCCTGTCCACCATCCGTCCATCTGTCTGGCATCCCCAGGGTCAGTCCTGCCCAGGTGCGGTAGCCTCTTCTCCAGGAAGTGGAGCCACGCCCTGGTCCTAGGGATTCCCTCTCCACTCCGACTCCAACTCTCCCCTCCAGCCTCCACCCTACAGAAATTCCTGATGCCCCTCACCCCCTTCTAGATGGCTATAGCTCCCCAGAAAGGTTCAGGCCCAGGACACTCTCCAACTGAGCCCTTTTGGTCATTGTCTTCAAGTTCATGGTCACAGGCAGTTTCCCGAGGAGCAGAGCGGGCCTTGACCATCGGGCCTTTCTTGATGGCCCCATGCTTCCGTACCTTGTCATGTACCTGTCAGATCCCAGCACACTTCTTGCTCCCACCGTCAGTCAGTCCCTCCCCCCCACTATGGGGTGAAAGCTCCTTCCATAAGAGGCCAGGCCCTTGGACGCGGGCCCTGAGAGCCGGTGCAGGAGGAGCTGCTGTGAGGGACTGTCCGGGTGAACAGCTGGGCCTGGCTCGGCCTGTCTGGGGAGAAGCTGAAGGCTGGGTGCTGGGCCCCGGACTGAGGCGGGTCGAAGCTCCTCTCCCCCGGCCTCCACCCCGGTGCCTGCCTGGTTGTGGTTTGTCTGAGGTGCTGCCGGCCCCTCCCCCCACCACCTGTAAGGACAGAGCCTGTCGGGTCGATGCCCCTTTGCTCTATGGTACTCTGCCCCGGGCACCAGGAGGCGCACTTTGCAGACAGGGGCATGCGTGAGTGGTGGCTTCTTTGGAAACTGGACGGGCAGCTTCCTCTTCCTCTTCTGTCTGTCTGCCTTCCTCTCCCCTCCTGCGTGGATGAGCCCGCCGCTGGGGTGGTAGCGCTGGCAGCCCCTGGGACCCCTGGGAAGTGCTCATGTCTTGTCCCAGAGCTGTGCTTCTTGGGGGAGCCCCATCACCTCCTCTGGGGACACTGGGGGCCAAGCAGCCAGCCAGGCAGCCGGCTCAGGGAAGCCTAGCAGGGTGACAGGCACGGTAATCTGAGGCCCTGCGGAGGCTGACTGGTGGTGGGTTTGCCTTTAAAACGAATAAACAAATGAATAAACATTTGCAACGGTGCTGGCCGCCGGGCGAATCTAGAGTTCTTTTACACAGACATCAGTGGGTTTCCTCAAGTGAGGGGCTGCTGGTCTTGATCTTGTCTGAGAAGTGCTGCAAGGGTGCGGTGGGCAAGGCCCAGATGAGAAGGTGCAGGCTTAGAGGGGCTGGGGGACGGGCTTAGCCGTGGGATACCCCAGCGCTGGGACCCCAGGTTCTGTTCCAGATGTGGGGGCCATCAGGGCTTGGGCAGCAACAGTGATGTTTGGGCAGGGACACACGTGGATGCTGGAGACCACAGGGAGGCCACGCCGCCCTCCAGGGAACCTGGTCACATGCTGGCGATGACAGTAGAGGGTGGCAGAGGCCCAGGACCTTCTGGGGATGTGGGCCTCCCTAGTGTGCTGAGGTGTGATGTGGAGTCTGAGTGGAGAGGCATGAAGGGCTGTGGTGCCACTGGATGAAGCAGGGGCCTTGGGGACAGTCACCACGGTGAGGCTAAAGTGACCGTCCGCTGTGGCGCACGGGAAACCCAGCCTCAGAGCTGGTGCGTGGCCCGTAGCTCCTGCTGCTGCGGCTGCTGCGACTGCGCAGCTGGTGTGTGCGTGAGCACAGCTGTAGGGTCCCGGGAACTCTGGGCAGGTAGCTGCAGTCCCTGTTCACACTTGCTCTGTGGCACCAGCCACTCTCCTCTTGATACATTGTTGCTAGCGAGCTGATCCTGATACATTGTTACTAACTGGAGTCCGAGTTCTGGGTTTCAACAATAGTCTCATCCACCCACCAAATGTTACAGGATCCTACCCACAGTGCTGCTTCTTCCCCTTCCCCCAGAGACCCAGGTGCCCCCTCTTCACCCTCCTCAGGCCTCTTCCCCTCTCCGGACAGTTCCGACCTTTTTACAGCCGCCCGCCCTCGTGTCACCTTGCCCAGCCTGCAGGGCAGTTGTTGGATGTTATTGTTAATTGAGTGGCATTTGGTCCCAGCCTGGTATGAAGCACTCACTGGCCAGCAGGCAGGTGGGCGCTCAGACCCTTCCCCCTAGGACCCTCATAAGAAAGGCCCGGCCATCCAGCCTTGGAGACCCCAGGGGCAGCTCTACTCTGCACACAAGAGCACGCCCCCAGGCTGCACAGCCCTGCCCCCCAGTGTCAGAGGTCCCTGCCCCTCAGAGAACACCCTCGCCCCTTCCCCATCTGGCTTCACCCCCATCACAGATGCGGCTGCCTCACCTGGAAATGGGGACCCTCGAGCCCCTAACATGCTTAGAACAAAGCCAGACAGTTCCCTGACCCCAGACTCTTCCCCTCTGTGGGGACCTGGCCACATGCTGCCCAGCATGATGGGAGGGGCAGGGCTAGGGGCCAGGTGCTGCTGGCCTGAGGCCCCACTGAACCCCCAACCCCACCCCATGGATGGAGCTGTCTAACCCAAAACACGAAGGTGGCACCCTGGGTTCAGAGGTGACTGAGGTGTGGTCTTTGCCACTGCAGAAGACCAGGGGCTCAGCTTGGCCTCTACAGGGAGCGAGCAGCCTCCAGGACAGTGCCCAGAGTCTCTCAGGGGGCAGAGGCAGCGGGCAGGCCTCAGGCTCAACCTCTGTCGCTGTCTGTCCCCTCTCCAGACCCCTGGGTACAAATGCTGCCGGAAGCACCTCCCCAAACACACTCCTACAGCCGGGCCCTGGTCCCAAACACTGGTCCTGGTGGACACCTGCCTGTGTGGCATCTCCTTGTGGTCAGGTGGCAGCCCGCCTGCATGTCCCCATCCCCTCAGCTCAGCAAAGGGCAGCTCTATCCTCTGCTCCCCAGAAAGCCTGCCAGTCCCACCTGAAAAAGCAACCTGGGCACCTCTCCCCCACCCCCTGCCACCTAGAGGGCCCTAGGTCAGAGGCCAGGTGGGTCCCCAAGGGCAGAGATGTGAGCAGGCACACTGTCCAGAAGCTGTTTCCAGTAGGTCCAGAGGGTCTCTGTGTGAGTCTGGGTGGGCCAGAGAAACAAATCCAGGGAGCCTCAGATGTGTGTAAGAAAGAGCTTTGTATACAAGAACAGTCAAATACTGAGAAACCATCTGGTCCAGATCGAGTTCATAAGTCTGATATTAGCCCAGATGTCCGACACAAATCTATAAAGTCCTCTTCAGACTCACGCAGCACATGCAATGACCCCGAATGCAGGAAGATCACAGGCCAGTGGGTGGGAAGTCTTGTGGATCCAGTGGCAGTGGAAGCATCTCAGTGCTGACAGGGGGCTCCACGTGGCTCCTTCTGTCAGGAGAGCATCTCTCAGGAAGTGAGCCGAGAGAGAGAGAGAGAGAGAGAGTCAGTCTTCTGCCTCCAAGGAGGGAAAGGCAGGAGTTCCCAGAATCCTCAGGGGAAGGCCACGCTCACACAGAGGCCTCATTAGCTACGTCCTGATTGGCAGGCTAGACCCCACCCCTCCACTGACACCTCAAGCTGACACCAGATGATGTAACTCCCACAGTCTCAGCGGATGGGCCTGCCCAGGGCAGGTCTGCCCAGGTGGGGCTGTGGGCAGGGGCTGTGAGGCTGGTACTGCACATGAGTCAGAACTAACCACCACGACAAAACCCAACTGCACGATGCAGGGATGAGAATGACTCCGTTCACAGATGAAGGAGCCCTGTTGCTGGTGTGGGGTACGCATTCCCCTGTCGACATCAGGAGGCCGGCGGTTCAAACCCACCTGATGCTCTGCAGGAAAAAGATGAGGCTTTGAGCTCCCGGAAAGACGGACAGCCTCTGAAACCCTTTGTAGGGGCGCTATGAGTCCAAACCGGCTCCACGCGGTGGGGGCTTTAATTACTGACAAGAACACGAGGCACAGAGAAGTTAAGCTACCGACTCAGAGTCACACAGCAAGGAAGGGGCAAGCCTGGTCTGTGGACTCCCCCTCAGCCTCTGGGAACTCGGGACAAAATGCCCAACTCAGTCCTCAGGGGTAGCATTCCCCCAGGTTGCTCAGTGGTGGCTGGAGGGATGGGAGGGAGAGGCCCAGCTCCCCGTGCCTGCCCCAGCCTGTCGCAGCGCCTGGAGCCCTGTCATGTGTGTGTGTGTGGGGCCGGGGGCAGGAAGGGGGACTCTTCCCAGCTGCACCGAGGCATCTGTTGTCCATGTGACATAAAGGCACTGTGTGTGGTGCAAGATCCATTGAGTTTTGATATTCTCATC